GACTGCACATAGACTGAAAGCAGAGGAATGACAATGTCTTGTCAGAACACAAATTTTCTACTGGCTATTTTCAGAACTAATCTAAAAATAAATTTCCAAAACCTAAGCACAAGTTCAAAAATATGTGATCAGCTTCACGATTACTTCTGATGTGTTAAAATCTCGAACAGAAATGGTGTCCAGTCTTTCCTGAAAGCAAGTCCACTTGAGCGAGGAAGAGGGATAGAGGTGGGCTGGCAGTGTTCTTTGTGGGAGTTTGGAGGGAGATGCCCTGGTTGTGGTGCAGGCTGTCCCTTCTTGCCACCCCACGTGCATGCGCTATGAGCTCATCCACGTGGGGGACTCATCAGAGTGTGCTTGGTACATGGTGAACCTTCAAAAAAGGTTAATTGTAGCAAGTAATAGAGATCAATAGTTATAACAATATAATACACAATAAATACAAAAAATAAAATGTTAACAATATAAAAATAATAAAAGAATTAAGGATTACCAAAGTCAAACTTCACTAGAGGTGTCAGGTACAATTACAATCTACCGAAACAATAATAATGTAATAATAACAGCCTATATTTGTCGAGCTCTTATTGTGCATGTATTATTATTTTTATTATCTCTATTTACAGATAAGAAAAATGAAGATTAGGGGAATGTAAGCAATATAGCCAAATTGGTACAGCTAGTGAATTTACAAACCCACGAAATCGGGCTTCAGAACCACGCTCGTAAGAATTGTGCTCTACATATTCACAGCTGTTGGGGCATTTTTACTTCTCCAAATAATAGTTGTGTATTAAAAAAAAGTCCTCTGAGCCATTCCCCAGTGTTGGCTCTAAAACTCCAGATATTAGGGAAGAGATGAAACCACTTCAGGAAATTTCAACTATGATTTAAAAAATAAAATACTTTTTGCCAAAAGCAAATGGTAGATTGCACATTTATAAATTATAAAAACACATTAAAAGAAGAACTGATTGCTTTAAAAAGTTACATAATTAATGTTAATCAAGAAACATATTTTCTGTTAATTTGTGAAATTAAATCTCTGATTATACAACATATTCATTCTGTTGGATGTTTATATTCTATTCCAAAAAGTAGAGTTTGTGAAAGAATTAAAGGTGATGTCTCTCTTACAGCTTCAGCACAATTTGGTTTCAAATTGGACATTGGTTAAAAATAAAGCTACTGTATTGAAATAGATGTTGAAAAAATGTGTCACAATAATCAAGGCAGAGGACAAACTTCTGAGAGTTGGGACTATGTATATATTTTGTCAATAACCTGTCTCCAGCCAAGACTGCTTGAAATGCTACCTCTTCCTCTCAGAGTCATAAGCATCCCAATGGAGACATCACTTTGAGTGTTTTGGTATTTTTGAATTTGAAGCTTTACTACTACCTGCAAAGGGACAAGAAAGTTATGTACAGAGTACTAGAAGTCCAATCAAATTTTACTCAACTGGATTGCTCTATTTTATTTCTTTTAAAAGTTATACAATAGTCAACGGATTCAAAGTATATGTATAATTTTCGAGTAGAATGTGAAAAAATAAAATGAACACTCATGAACCTCTAAGTAACAGTCTAAAATATTACCTATTGCTTTGACACGACTTGTTTGTTTCCCTTTGATCACATTCCCTACTATCCATTCCATTCCCAGAGTTACTAAGATCTTGAATTTTGTGTTTATTATTATACCTGTTATTTAAAAATTGGATGTACTACTCATGCATATATTCATAATTAAAATATTATTGAACTTTGCTTGTTGAGTTTTATAAAAACAGTGTCATATGTCTAGAGCTTGAATTTTTCACTCAAAGTTTTATTTCTAGAATTTGTTCATGAGATTTCATATAGTTATGGGTAATTTATGTTCACTGCTATAAATATTCCACTATGGGTATGTGACAATGTACTTACTCATTTGTATCAGTCATGGTTCTGATGGGAAAATAGAATCCACTCTCTACATAATAGTTATAATGTGTAATTCAGGACTGACATGACTCTTGGAAGATGGGGGAAGGGACATTAGGAAGGCTGCCACCAGGGGACGTGAAGATCTGAGCCCCCACGCCTGCAAGGACCTGGGGCTGGGCCTGTGGAGTGGTCTGTGGGGCTGCCGTATCAACAGAGTAGGACTCATGTGGAGGTCAGTAAGCAGTCATGTCTGACCGCCGTGATTTGCCAGGAGTAATGGACTGCAGTTCATGTTCACCTTCTAAATCTCATGCAACCTTCTGTCACTGGCAGAATCCAGCACCAAAGGAAGCACATCGTAAGGAGTCCTGTTCACGTGTCTGAGGTGTGGACACGTGTTAGTGTGGTGTCCAGATGAGGGCACACCACCACTGAATTGATGTTTTTCCCCAGTTATTTTTGTTTCTACAAGCCTTGAGACTTTGAACATTCTTGTACACATGCTAAGATTTCTCTAGAGAATATACCTGGGAATGGGTGTATGAGGCATGGGTTAAATGCATTCACAGATTTACAGGATGATGCCAGCAGGGTTGTACTTACTCACAGTCCTAAAAGCAGTGTATATGAGTCTCTGTGGCTCCACATTCTGGTCAGTGTTTGGTTTCTGACTCCTTATTTCTACCACCATAATATGTGTAAAATGGGATCTCACTGTGGTCTTAATTTGATTTTTGTTTAACTGTTAATAAGGTTGAATATTCACACTTTTTCTTTGGCCGTTCTCTTCCTTCTTCATGATTATACCTATTATCTTTTGTTTGTCTTTTCCTTACGGTTTTATACTTGGGATTGTAAACTAATGATTTATTGTTAACATATAATGTAAATAGTCTCCAAATTTGTGACTTATATTTTTTGCCTTTCTTATGGTATATTTTAATAAACAGATATTCTTAAATTAATCAGGCTTTTATTCTACTCTTAGCATATTTTTACATCTTGTTTTAGAACTCTTAGACATTATTTCCTTATAATTTCTCTTACGAGGAAATTCTAAAATTTGCCTTTCAGACCTAAGTCTATAATCCATCTGTATTTATATTTTTGCTATGGTGCACAAAGCAATTTCACTGTTCTTATTATGGAGAGGCTGTTATGCTCTACATTAGACAGTTCCTTCTTTCCTTAGTATATTAGTTTTCTACTGTTGCTGTAACAATTACCACAAACTTAGTGGCTTAAACCACAACAGAGTTGTGTACAATCTCCCAAGACTGAACCAGGAAGAATGAAATGGTAATGCGATTGTTCCCTTAATTTCTTTTTCTGATATTTCATTGTTAGTGTATAGAAATGCAAAGATTTCTGTATATTAATTTTGTTATCCTTTAACTTTACAGAATTCGTTGATGAGCTCTAGTAGTTTTCTGGTGGCATCTTTAGGATTTTCTATGTATAGTATCATGTCATCTGGAAACAGTGACAGTTTTACATTTTCCTTTCCAATTTGGATTCTTTCTATTTCCTTTTCTTCTCTGGTTGCTGTGGCTGGGACTTCCAAAACTAGGTTGAATAAAAGTGGTGAGAGTGGGCATCCTGATCTTAGAGGGAATGATTTCAGCTTTTCACCTTTAAATATGATGTTATTAGGTGTGGGTTTGTCATATATGACCTTTATTATGTATGTGGCACTTTTGTTGAAAATTAGTTTGACCATTTAAGCATGGTCTTTCTGAACTTTATATTGTTCTGTTTACCTTACTTGCCTATAGATATGGCAATCCACACTCCAGTACAGCACTAATTAGCTGTGGTAAGAACAGGTATCTTGACTTTATCCTGGATTTAGGGGAAAAGCATTTAATCTTTTACCATTAAATGGGGTTTATTTCTTACTCTGGGATCACAGGTTTAAAAAATAGAATAACTCTGGTTTAGAAGACAGTTACCTAATTTTACTTTTCTCTGTTTCATGTGCCCAACATAGTTTTTAGTGCAATTTAAGCCTTTTGTATTTTTAAAATTAATGAGTGAGTGATTACCTGAGTCATTTGGTGTGGTGTTGTGCCTTTAGTAGCTGGCAACATACTCTGATAACTGCTTTTAGTTCCCTTGTTTTTAACCATATTTTAGGATTATTAAATAAATTAGGTAGGTGCCCCCACCCCCAGAATTTTCCATTTAGGCAAATGGTTTTGTATATATACTCTATCTAGCATTTTTAACTTTTCTGTATGTGTTCACATCTTTTATTTGCTGATCCTTAGAACAAATCTTTAACATAGAGAAGGTAAGATCAAAGAACAGTTGAATCTCTTTATTTCCAATCATGAAATTTGGAATGGAATGTTATAGGCATAAATACTTATCAAACATAAGTATTAAATTTTACTTTAAAAAATTTTAAATATTTACTTTTACAATTTTGAATGTGCATAGACATGTTAAAATTGTTTTTTATTTCAATAATCTGATTGGAGAGAAAAAGCCTTTAAAAATTTTGTAAATCCTAGTGCTTCTCCCTAATTTCATTCTTGAGTAATTTATTTATCTATGTGATTATATGAGTAAATGATATGTTCAAAATATTACTGGGGCTTCCCTGGTGGCGCAGTGGTTGAGAGTCCGCCTGCCGATGCAGGGGACACGGGTTCGTGCCCCGGTCCAGGAGGATCCCACATGCCGCGGAGCAGCTGGGCCCGTGAACCATGGCCGCTGGGCCTGCGCATCCGGAGCCTGTGCTCCGCAACGGTAGAGGCCACAACAGTGAGAGGCCCGCGTA